CTGGTGCCACACCCGGTCAAAAGTGCCAGCAATGTCCAGTGCTACCACACAGCTGACTGGATTCATCCAGTGACTGGTGCCACTTAGTGGAGAGGTTTAACAACAGATCAGCAGCAGAGTAACCTTTCCTGAAGCCAGATTGATGATCACAAAAAACTCTGTCAAAAAACTGTGTCATTTGTCTTGAGATTATTGTCTCAATGATCTTACCAGTGATTGACAGGAGTGACACTGGTCTGTAGTTGCTGATTTCTGCTCTGCTCTTCTTTTTGTGAACAGGGACTACATTTGCCTCTTTCCATAGAGAGGGCCATTTTCACTGTACTAGGCAGTGCTGAAAGATGCGAGTTAGAGGTGCTGCTAGCTGGTCTGCACATCTTCTCAGCAATCTTGGGCTCAACTTGTCTGGGCCCACAGCCTTTTCTTGGTCAAGCGATTTAAGAAGGAAATGCACCTCCTCCTGCCTTATTGTCACCACTGACAGTTTTGACACAGTTCTTGCAGCTAGCCAAGGAGGGTCCCTTGCTGGATCAGGAACTTGCATTTTGGTAGCAAAGTGTTCAGCAAAGAGGTCCGCCTTCTCTTGACTACTAGTAGAGGTGGTCCCATCCTGTCGATTTAGAGGTGGAGTGAGTTCATCAGGCAGATAACCTTGTCTGTCCTTGACCAGGGACCACCAGGTTTTGGAGCCTACCCTACCTGATGCTAGCTTTCTTTGTGTCCACCTCCCATTTAGCAATGGCCCACTTTTGAACGTCACCCATATGCCTACAGGCTTGCATGTGCAAGTTCCTGTTACAGGCGGTAGGATGTCTCTTATACCTTCGCCATGCTTTGTACTTAGCAGTAGCAGCCTCTCTACAACGAAAGCCAAACCAAGGCTGATCTGTAGGCTTCGTCATATATTGCCGGTGAGGAATATGTTCTTGTTGTAGATTAAGGATGTGTCCATTGAAGGCTTTCACTTGGTCGTCAACATCCCCTTGGAGAAGAGCATTCCAATCAGTGGTGGCGAGCTCAGAGCAAAGGGCTGGCCAATTACCTCTTTCCCATAGCCAGGTTGTGCGGTGGACTCCACACCTCGTTCTGTTGGGATCTTGAGTGTCGTAAAAACAGCCTTGTGGTCAGACGATCCAACGTAGACGAGGGGTTGACAAGTGACTATGCCTTCTGCCAGATCACTCACTACTGGGTCAAGGGAGGAGCCAGAGATATGAGTAGGGAAATCAACAAAGTTTCTCATGTCAAACACTGCAAGAAGGTCATCAAAGTCCCTCTGTATAAGGTGCTGGTTGAGGTCACAAACAATTATAATATGTTGACAGTTGTGTTGTAGCAGAAGGGAGTCAATATTTTCCATTAGGAAGTTGATAGGGTCTGCATGTTGCCACTGAGGTCTGTACATTGCACATGCTAGTACAGAGGTACTAGTGTTTATACAGAGCTTGAAGAACATCATTTCAAGATGTGTAGGGGTGGCAACATCAATGTGCTGGGGATGAACACTTTTAGAGAAGCACACAGCAACACCTCCTCCTTGCCCTTGCCTGTCTCTTCTCATCCATGAGGTGTAGCCAGCAATTCTTGCAAAATTTTCTGGAGTCCTGTCATCCCAAAATGTTTCAACAACAGCTATCATGTCGGGACGTTGAGTGTTCACAAAACTGTGTGAGCTCTCTTTCCTCTCTCTCTCTCTCTCTCTCTCTCTCTCCTCTCTCTCTCTCTCTTTCTCTCTCTTTCCTCTCTCTTCTCTTTCTTTCCTCTCTCTCTCTCTTCCTCTCTCTCTTTCCTCTCTCTCTCTTTCTCTCTCTCTCTTTCCTCTCTCTCTCTTCCTCTCTCTCTCTTTCCTCTCTCTTTCCTCTCTCTCTCTTTCCTCTCTCTTTCTCTTCCTCTCTTTCCTCTCTCTTTTCCTCTCCTTCTCTCTCTTTCCTCTCTCTCTCTTTCCTCTCTCTCTCTTTCCTCTCTCTCTCTTTCCTCTCTCTCTCTCTTCCTTCCTCCTCTCTTCCTCCTCTCTCTCTTTCCTTCTCTCTCTCTTCCTCTCTCTCTCTCTCTTTCTCTCTCTCCCTTTCCTCCTCTCTTTCCCTCTCTCTCTTCTCTCTCTCTTTCCTCTCTTCTCTCCTCTCTCTCTTTCCTCTCTCTCTTTCCTCTCTCTCTTTCCTCTCTCTCTTCCTCTCTCCTCTCTCTCTCTTTCCTCTCTCTCTTCCTCTCTCTCTTTCCTCTCTCTCTTTCCTCTCTCTTTCCTCTCTCTCTTTCCTCTCTCTCTCTTTCTCTCTCTCTCTTCTCTTTCTCCTTTCTCTCTTTCCTCTCCTTCTTCTCTTTCCTCTCTCTTTCTCTCTCTTTCCTCTCTCTCTTTCCTCTCTTTCCTCTCTCTTTCCTCTCTCTCTCTTTCCTCTCTCTCTCTTTCCTCTCTCTCTCTTTCCTCTCTCTCTCTTTCCTCTCTCTCTCTTTCCTCTCTCTCTCTTTCCTCTCTCTCTCTTTCCTCTCTCTCTCTTTCCTCTCTCTCTCTTTCCTCTTTCTTCCTCTCTTTTCCTCTCTCTCTCTTTCCTCTCTCTCTCTTTCCTCTCTCCTCTTGTTCCTCTCTCCTCTTGTTCCTCTCTCCTCTCTCTGTTGCTCCTCTCTCTTGCTCCTCTCTCTTGCTCCACTCTTTCCTCTCTCTTTTTTCTTTCTTTCTCTTTCTCTTTTCTGTTTTCTTTCTCTTTCTCTTTTCTCTCTCTCTTTTCTCTTTCTTTTCTTTCTATCGTTTCTCTCTCCACATGCGTATGCATATGCGCACACACACACACACACGTGTACATTCGTTCGTACCTGTGTGCACACTGTATATTGTATGTTAGGCTGGATAGGGGAGCTATGAGGCAGATGTTGCAAATGTGTGGAATAGGAGGTAGGTTACTAAAAGCAGTTAGAGATTTTATGCCGAGAGCTTTGGTACATAGGATGGAAGGGGACTGTCCTGGCATAAACATGACTTAGACAGGGAAGTGTGATGTCTTCATGCAAAACATATTGATAGATAGGGGTTGTGAAAGAAGTAAATACTAGGTTGTTGGGAAGTGATGTGTGATTGAAATGTTGGAACTGATGTAAATTGTGACTTATCCGAATTACTCTTGGTTAATTAATGACTTAGTTCTTTTACTGGATTCTAAAGCCTTATTGCAAAGTTTAATTTGAGAGGGCATGTAAAAGGAAGAGGGTAACAAAAAAAAAAAAAAAGTCTAGGCAATGGTAGATTGATTATCAGATTGGATTGAGGGCATATAGAAGAAGTGAATGTATTTACATATTTGGGCATGAACATCAGCAAATGTGTGTGAAAGCTAAGGGAGGAAAAGGTGGGTGGTGTGGTGAAGCATCTGTGGAAAGAAAAGTTTATCACTGGTGGAAGAAAAGTAAATGCATCAGAGTATAGTGGTGCCAACACTCTCATATGGGCTTGAGGCATGGGTTTTGAATACTGAGTGAAAAGTAGGCTAGAAGCAGTGGAGATGTCATGTTTGAGAGCCATGTGTGGTGTGATTATCATGCACATAGAGGATGGATAGGGATAGGTTGATGAAGAGGGGTGTTTAAATCTGGGCTGGAAAGTAGAAGGGGGTGGAGGGAGGGAGGGGAGTACAAATGGCTTTGAGTTTCAGGGGCTTGAGCATTCAGCGGGCTTGTGTGAGCATGTTAAATAGTGAATGAGGCAAGTGGTTTCTAATGGATGTGCTGCTGGAGTGTGAGCAGGGTAACTTTTATGAAGGGATTCAGGGAAATTAGCTAACTGGAATTGAGTCCTGGAGGTGTTAAAGGCATTGCCTGCACTCTGAAAGAGGGATAAGAATATTGCAGTCTGAGGGGTAATCTGATTGTAATGGCAGTACACTTCTGGAAAGATGGTGAATAAGTGAATGTTGGTGATTGTGTTTTCTTTGGATCACCCTAGCTTGGTAGGAGTTGGCCATTGAGTTAAAGTATACATTTCTTGAATTGGAAGTACTGTATACCTGCCAGTCTACAGCGGGTGATGTAAAAAAAAAAAAAATTGGGGGAGGTGAGGCGATATTAACACCCTGTCTCCTCCCTAATTTATTGTTTTGGTCGACTTGAGGCTTGTGATTTACAGTATAATGAACGTTATACACTTAAATGATAAACAAAAAATTCTGTATGGTAAACTATTATACTGTGTATTAATAGTACAGGTACAACGCTGATTTTCTTTCAGTGGATTATCTGGCATATCCTTTAGTTCGGACAAAATTACGAGACTTACTTTTTTGTCGGAATCACAACATAGTGTGAGCACACACTACATTGTATGTAGTGTGTCCTCACTTAAATTGTTTACACTACTCTTGTTGGTAGTGATCCCTTTATTGTGTGATTCTTATCATATTTTGCTAACAGTTAACCTTTGTGATTAGCACTACAGTTCCAGTAATAAATAAGTACAGTAAATAAATAAACCATTTTCATTCATGCTGATGTTTAAGTTTCCAGCAGACCAGGGTGGGTCAGAGATATATTGTTGCATTATTATTGTTACATTTATTGGTCTGGCAAAGTCAATATACTGGCAAAGTCTAGGAACCAGGGGTGCTGGACAATCGGTGTTGTACCTGTATAAAAATTAATAGGGTCATTCATTATTGATAACTTTTTATTGTAAATAAGGTTTAATCTTAGTTCATTATTATTATTCTAATTTTTCCCTGTACAGTAATTATTACAGTGACTTGGATATTTTTGGGAGAAAGATGCAATGAATGTAACCTGTGTTTTGGAACAGACTGTCTGACCATATTTGACTACTTGATTGGGGAAAAAAATCGTGAACAAATAATTACAGTATAATTGAAAAGATGCTTTGAGATTTTTGTGAAAATGACAATCACTAGTTGATACTGTATCTTTGAATATAGTGTGTATTGTATTTACATAATAAGTTTAATTCACGTGCTTATAGTTATAAGTTTTCATTTGCTTGTATTCATTAATTATATTGTCTCACACAGTGAAATACCTGGGTCTACTTGCTATGTCAAAAATTCTGAAGACTCATCCAAAGTCAGTTCAGGCACACAAAGATCTGGTCCTTCAGTGCCTTGATGACAAAGATGAATCCATACGGCTCAGGGCTCTTGATCTTCTTTATGGCATGGTGAGTAATAATTGACATTCTTATAAAATTTTTATAAAAATTCTTAAATAATAAAAAGGCACAATACCGTGACCAGAACAGTACACAAATACCCACACACAGGAGAGTGAAACTCATGACCATTAACTAGTCTAAGTTGGACTGTAATGTCATCACAAGTTTTATTCTCCTGTGTGCTGGTATTTGTGTAAAACTCTACATTTTTATTTTTCCTTTAGATTTCATAATACTCATGCTGTGTTCAGGTTCAGTAAATCACCATAGGAATAATAATCTCAGTTGAAGTACTGTATACACATCACATCCAGGTTTATTTCATTTTTTAACCCTTATTATGCAAAGGAAGATAAGCAGAGGGTATATAAACACTGGGAGAGCCTCTCATAGACAGGTGCAGGTCATGTCTGCCGATTCAATTTGTATACGTACATGTATATGAAAACACTGTATGTATTGACTTGTATGCAGGAATCAGCTGTATAAGTAATTAAAGAAATAATTACTGTAACTAAATACCAGTATTGAAAAGTAAATAAATGAGATGCTGATGCTCGCGATTGCTACAGAGACCGAGGGTGTGACCTGCCATCGCTCGATATGTGCGTCACTTTTTGCACCATCATAAGTCAAACCATCGTAAAGTGAGGAGCACCTGTACATTCATTTCCTTAATGCTCCTACCTTCTGTTTTGATTGATAATCTTTGAATGTCTTTAATTAAATTTTCAGGTGACTAAGAAGACTGTTATGGAAATTGTTCGGCGTCTCATGACTCATATGGACAGAGCAGAGGGCACTATGTATCGTGATGAACTTCTTCAAAAGATTATACTAATATGTTCGCAAAACAACTTCCAGTATATTACTAACTTTGAGTGGTAAGTTTTGTGATGGTTTAATGTATTGAAATTGGTCAAATATCTGTATTTATATAATTTTTTAGGATATTGATATAAAAGCTTATAAAAATTATTTTTATTAAGATATATTTTAATTCAGTGAAATTTATTGTCATGTGTGTTTTATTATCTTAGGTATGTAAGTGTTTTGGTGGAGCTGTGCCGGATGGAAGGGACACAACACGGTGGTTTAATTGCCAGTCAGTTGATGGATGTTGCTATTCGAGTTGTTGCTGTTAGAGAATTTACTGTTGGTCAGATGGCATTGTTATTAGACAACGCTCATGTAATTGTTGGTCCTGCTGCAGCAAGGTCATCTATAGCAGAGGTGTTATATGCAGCTGCCTGGATCTGTGGAGAGTTTTCTCAGTGAGTGAAAAGTAATTGCTAAGAGTTAAAGAAATAATGAGATGGTAAATTCATTACACTGTATTTTCACAATTTTGTGTAAAGATAATATGGGCAAGTGTTTGGAAAATGAATGCAATTGAAATGAATAGGGGCCAGACCTTTGAAGTTTTAGTACAGTATTAATGTACTGTATGTTAAAGAAAACTATGATCTTGTATGTTTCTTTTTTTTTAAGCATTTGCTTGAAGTACTGCAGGTTTTGAATTGTGGACATAGTGAACTAGACATAAAAGTTGGGGATTTTGCAATGTTAAAATAATCTGGGCAACCTTTCTAGGGAGTGATAAAGAAATTAAAAGGTTTGCAGATGACTATAAACAGGGGTGTACTGGCAATTTCTCAACCAGTTATGATTAAGGTTGTAGTTCAGAAATTGGCATAAATCTGTAAGTGCCAGCAGTGATAGAGGATCCTTTTAGTATATCTTAATATACCTTAAACTGTGAATATTAACTCAGAGGTAATATAAGGCATTTGCTCATGTTGTCTTAGTTTTGGTTTGAGGCTTACTGACCCTGTACATTGGATCAAATGCTTCCACTTCTCTCATGGAGTGCTCCCTACACTACACATTTCAATCTCAGGGATTTGCAACATGCTCAGAACAGCAACAATTTTGTTGGAATATCAGCATATATCTCACTCTCTCTTTTTCATTCCTTCATTCAGATTGCTTTATTTCATATTTGTGCTTTACATTTTCATCTTACTGTCGTTTCATTTTTCTCTATTGAGATTAATTTCTTTTTACTCTTAAATATTTGTTAAAAGTTAAAAAAAAAAATTGTATCCAGTTTAAAATTTGAACACAGTCCAGGCTAATCCCACAGCTGGTGCCAACTGTGGGAAATTGATTTATTCTTATGTAGAAAGAGAATGGAAAGTTTTTAAAGGAAATTTACTGCCATTTATAGTGTATTTGGTAAGATAAAAAATTAATAATTTTGGTTAGTAATTTTTATCATTCAGTTTGAAGTTTGAAAAAGCAAAGAAAATGTTAATTGCCATTATTTATTAAAATTTGTACTAATTTTTTTATCCTTTCAACAGTAATCATTACAGATTCTGTAATTTAATAGGTTTGTATTTTATGTATGGGGAACTGTACCTCTTTGACTGTGCATTAACTTAGTGTTGAGACCAATTGTAAGTACACTAATAAATTTTCATACAAATATGGAAATGTAAAACAGCTCCTCAGCGACAGTTTATTACAGATTGTTGGCAAATCCAAAAGCTACTCTAGAATCCATGGTGAGAGGAAAGGTAGTTTCTCTTCCAGGACATATCCAAGCTATATATGTTCACAACATGCTCAAGCTCTATGCTCATATTATTGCTACAGCAGAGGAGGAAGATGATTCAGAAATGATAGAAGAGGTAAGAGTTTATACAGTGTGTTAATAGTATTTATGGTTATTAATTTCGATAGAATATAAAATTATGCTGTATATCTTTAAACATTCATCAAATCTTAGATAAAAATGTTTTGGGGATTCTGTATTAGGCTGTTGTCCCAAAAACAAAAAAGTTTTGGTGAGAAAAAGATATCAGAAGCCATTCTGGTAACAAAATATTGTTTATTTTTATTTATATTCATGTTAATGGTTAACCATAGAACTGATGAAGGGGATAAAAGGTGTGTGGTGCATTGAGGCATCTGTGGAAACAAAGCATGTTATCCATGAAGGCAAAGAGGAGAATATATAAGAGTTACAGTGGTACCAACACTTACATGGATGTGAAGCATGGGTTGTGAATGTTGCAGCAAAAAGGAGGCTGGAGGCAGTGAAAATGTCATGTGTGAGGGCAATGTGTGGTATAAATATTATTTAACCCTTACAGAAGGAGGAAACTTATTCTCAAACCAGAACACAGAGACAACTTTATTAACCACTTGGATCAATGGTATAAGAATTACGAGCCCATTGGCACACAAAAATTTAATGATTTAATAACCACTATTGAGAGTGTTCTCACAGATCAAGTGGGCAGGAATAGGAAACAAAGACCCTCCACTATAAATAACAATAAAAACCAATGTAAATACTATAATGATCCACGTACGCAATCTAACAATGCAGCTAGGAGGTTTGGGTTTAAAAGCTTTCCGTGAATTTTAAACCCCAAAATGTCGAACGTTCCAAGTGCACTAAAAAATGCAAAGGAATAAAAAAAGGAAGAACTTGGGCAACAGGAATGGGAAATTTTGTTAGTGGTTTTAAAAATAGGTCCCCCCCTTTTGGGGTTTTTGGGCGGGGAAAAGGGTTAAAAAAAATCCCCAAGGAAAAAGACTGGAAGGTTGTTCATCCTTTCCTTTTAAAAAAAGCAAATGCCCTCATAAAAATGGACTGGCCCAAAAACACCAGGCTTTGAAACCCTTTCCCAAAATTCTATATTAAAAAAAATTTTAAAAGATTTCTTTGAAGAAATGGGAAACTGATTAATTTTTTGAGCCAAAAAAAATTTAAATGAGGGGGGTTTTTGGCCTTTTACCGAGTAGGAGTTAGAAAAATGTTTAAAAAAAGGCGATAAAACTGCCCCGGGAGAGGATGGTATAACCTTGATATTCTCAAAACCTCTAAGGCACGTCCCCTGATAACCCTTTTTTGGCACTATTAATCTCATTTTACATTGAGGGGTTTTTTTCCTACTTCGGGGACCAATAGTCTCATTTGTCCCTACCCCCTAACCCCCAACGCCTGATACATTTAGGCCGTTCTCCTTTAAAACTATTTGTTCTTTGTAAAATTTTTTAAAAAAAAAAAAAAAAAAAGAATGAAGTTAAACAGACTGTACTACAGAATCAGACCCCAAAACTTTCCCCCTACCTTATGGGTTAAAAAAAGGGTAAAAGTGTGCAGAACTGTATTTCCCCCTTTTTTCAATGCACACCCCTCTATTTGTTTTACCATTTTTTCTTGATCAAAAATTTCGGGCATTTGATATTGCGAACAGAACCGTTTTATACTTTAAACTCCCAAAAGGGAATATTGGGGGTGTTTTTCCCTCTGCGGGGGAAAATTGGTTCCCTTGTCAAATAGAGTATCCTCGCCCTTTACCAAGGCTTCAAAAGCGATTCTAAAAAAATTGCCCTTTTGGGTACACCGCGGGGGGGGGAGTTCTTAGTCCCATGCTTTTTAAAATATTTGTTTAAAATTGCTCTCCAAAATGTTACCTGCCTAACCTAAAAAATATAGCTAAAAAGCTATGCTGAGATATCTTGACCCATAAAACAGGGCATAAGAAGTTGAATACCATTTTTAAATTAAAGTTCAAGCAATTTGAAAAACGATAGGCCTCAAAATATCTTCCTCTAAAAAAAAAGATCTTAACAAGCAAAGGGTCCCCCACCATCTTTTTTGGAGGGTGAAATCATTTTTTTTTTTTTTTTTTTTCTTCAACAAGTCGGCCGTCTCCCACCGGGGGCAGGGTGCCCCCAAAAAGAAAGAAAACCCCCAAAAAAAGAAAATATTTTTTCATCTTTCAACTTTTACCACCTCGCCCCATTATCACTTTTTTTTGGCAGAGGTGCTCGGGAATACAACGTCTAGAAGATACACTTTTAAAAAGGTACAAAAAACATATCATTAGCTACTTTTTAAATTACGATATCTTGGGAAAGATGTACCCTTTAAAAAACCCAAACTTTTACCAAAAAACCAAAAACAAGAAATGCAAAGTTTGGCAAAAATGCTCTAAAAAGGCTTTTGCGGGCCCTAAAAATCCCCAACTATGGTGCAAATTTTGGGAAATCTTTGGGGAATGTTGTACATACCCTTTATGTTAGGCCCTTAATTGATTATCTGCCCCCATGTTGAAAATTAGCTAGAGAAAGTTCCCCTCGACCCTTGGGGTTAATGCAAAATAAAGTCTCAGGATTATTTTTGGCGGTCCCAAAATCTACAAAAGTTTTTAAAAATTTGGGAAAGGAGTTTTGGTTTTATTTCTGAAATCAGTAAAGGGGATTGTTGGGGAAATTAAAAATGTACTCGGTATTAAAATGTTGAGAACGAACCGGGGACAGTCACGTGAATTTACCAAGTGTTAGAGGAAAATACAACAGATTAAATGGATTGTAAAAAACGTGGCAATTGCATTAAGTTTTATAACCTAAAAATAAACTGTATCCCCTAGGAAACAAAAGCATTTAAACCCCCCATGGAAGTGTTTTTCATTTAATATCAAATCCCTCCCAAGCCCTCCCAAAAAGGGCTCTTGCTAGTAACCCCTTTCCCTTTAAAATTTCTCTTTTAGAGCAGTGCTCAAAAAAGGGAAATTTTTTTCCCCAAACCCGGTTTAGTAATATTTACCCAAGTTAAATACATGATGGTTAAAAAAGGAGTCTTCTGGGAAGGGCTGCATTGCTTTTTGCCCCCCCCTTGTTAAAACGAAAATAAATTTTTTTGAGTTAGGAAAAGGAATTAAAAACTGGGGGTCTACCCCGGAAAAACTGAATTTTTTGGCAACCCAAATGGGCAAAAAAGGTAACCTATGACACTGAGTTGGGATCCTATCATCATTACTGATTCTATTCATCATTGAAGGCCCCTTGATCATATATGCCCAAAAAAACAGTCTTTGGGGGAACCCAAGGTAATAGTTACTAAAAAATTAGGGCCCAAAGAATTAATGTACAATTGCTATGGTTTCCCATCACACTTTGGTTTTACCCCTTCATGATAAAGTTGATATGTTAGCAAGAAGAGTCCCCAAAGGGGGAATGTGAAATAATTTGGTATAACTTTTGTTTGCATTAGGAATAATTTAGGAAAGAAGAAAAATAATAAAAATAAATTGTTATGGAATGCAGTTAGAACCCGGGATTTGATCTAAAAACCCACTATGATAACATGAACGTAGATAGTATGTTTATGGAGACTTGCCCCAAAGTGAACAGGGGCCCCCTGATGTTGTGGGGGCCAGGCTTAGGCCCTTTGGGTTTCAAATACTTCTGGCAGTTTGGGAGGGCACACAGATGATGATAAAAATAAAAGTTTAAAATTTTGTGATCAGGGGATATTTGGGCACTTCTTTTAAAACTATGTGCTTAAATTTCCGTTATTTAGGAAAACAGAGGAAAAGACAGTATAATAACCCATGTGACATGTCAAGATATCTTATTAAAGAAAAAAAGATACCCGATTTCTAAGCAATTTCCTAAATTTTTCTTTTAACAGATAAATGAACTTAGATATGTTGGGTATAAAACCCTATGTATTCCTGTTAAAACCCCTTTGGGGGTAGTTCCCAGGCCCTTTTTTTGTATCCCTATTTCTGCGGGGTACCGTAAAAGGATGGGGTTGGGGTGCACAAAAAAACTTTCCCTTCCGGGGGCAAAAAATCTAAAAAAAAAAAAAGGGAACCCCAGAAAGGGGAAATCTCCCAAACCTTTTTTCTCAGGGTCGAAAATTTTTCGGAAAAAAAAAAAAAAAAATTTTTTTTATGAAAAGATAGAGAATCTTTTTCCCCTCATAATTTACACCCCAAAAAATTTTAAATTTTATTGGAAAACTTAGGAAAATTTTTTCTCGCAAAGTTAGCAGTCTCAACATGTTTACGCCCTCAGGATTTTGCTGACTTTGAGCCCTATTTTAGCCCAATTTTCCCGTGTACTAGTTGGGCAAAAATCATAACTTTTATCGCTAGAACTCCATTTTTTTCTATCAAATGGGTAAAGAAAAACCCCCCATTTTTCCCCATTTCAACTAAACCCAAAAAAGTGGGGCCCGAAATTAGCAAATTTTTCCAATTTTAACAAAATTTCAAAAAAAGCCAATTTCCCAAAAAGGATCCAAAATAAACAAAACAGACCCTTCCCGGCACTTTAAAAAAACATTTCCTCTGTTTTATTAGGGCATGTCCCCCGGCCTTCTTACATTTCTTTTGCTTTTCCCCTTTGAATTTTTATTCTCACAAAAAATGAAGATTTATGTTTTTGCAGACTTTCTTTCATTAGTGTAGAAAAAGGGTTTCAAATAATTCGCACACTTGTGAGAGGAAAAATTAGACTCGCCAGTTGAAAGTTTTATTGGCCGTGGCTGATTTTTCTTTTGAACTTTGGCAAAATTGAAAATTTTTTTCTACTTTGAGCTCAAATTTTAAGGTATTTTTTATTTTTAAAACCCGTTTAAAAAATCTCATTTTCTGTAAATTTTGTCTTCCATTTTATAAAATGAGAAAAGGAAAAATAGGGAAAACAACCATTTAAAACCCCTAAAAAATACAGTGCAAAATTTTACTGTTTTTTTAAAACCCAAAAATAAATCAAAGTTTTTTTTTTCTCATTATGAAAATTTTGGGCTGCAGGGATTTTTTTTTTTTACTGTTTTCCCCCCCCCTAAAACCCCAAAGACCCATTCTTTTTTTATGTAGGCCCA